TTTTAGTCCACAAATTAAATGAATTTTAACAATTAATTATTATTTTTAAATATATTGAATGCTTGATAGACTTTATAAATTTAGACCTTATATGAATCTTCAACATCTATATAATAAAGCATGACGGTTTTTGAATCTTCAACATATTTTTGTCCTATTAGAACATTTGGATGGCTCAGATCTGTTCAAATTATAAAGCAATGACTGAGATATATTTTCCCAAAAAATATCCTACATATACATTTTATATTTTCCCGCTTCTCTCTCTCTCTTACTTTTTCTCTTTCTCGCCTATCCTTCCATGATCCCATGATCCCACCTTTCTCTCTCTTTTCTTGTTTTTTTTTTATTTTCTTTCATTTTTATTTTTCTTTCTATTTGTTTTTTTTTTCTCCTTTTTGTGCACTTATTTTTATTCGTATTATATGGAAAAGTCTGCGATCCCAGAATTATGAGCCAGATTTTACTGTGTGTAGTGGAGATTATATTAATGAATTTTTTAGTTCACAAATTAAATGAATTTGAACAATTAATTATTATTTTTAAATATATTGAATACCTGATAAACTTCGTAAATTTAGATCTCATATGAATCTTCAACATATATTTTAATAAAGTAGGACGGTTTTTAAATATTTAACATATTTTTGTCTTATTAGGACATTTGGATGGCTTAGATCTGTTTAAATTATAAAATAATGGCTGAGATATATTTTTCAAAAAATGTTCTACATATACATTTTCTATTTTCCTGCTTCTCTCTCTTTCTTTTTTCTTTTCTCACACCCCTCATTCCATGATCCCATGATCCTGCCTTCCTCTTTCTTTTCTTTTTATTTTATTTTTCTTTCGTTTTTATTTTTCTCTCTATTTGTTTATTTTTTTTATTTTCTTATTTTTGTTCAATATATTTTATACATATTTTCATATAATGTATGTATGTCGTAATACACTAGGACATTACGGGCATACATACAATTTCCATATAATTATATAAGCAAAAATAGTATTGTATGTATGTCCATAGAAATTGTATGTATGTTAGATACATCTATCTATTTAGCTATATATATTATATAAGTAAAAACGAGTTTTCATGAAGAGTTTTGTGAAAGCTCTAAAATTTTATAATAAATTTGTGATTTTATCAAATTAAAATATAAATTTAAATAGTATTGAAATTTCAATTATATTTTAATCATAATATTATTTGTATCGTACTTTATACTAGTGTATATGGATGACAATTTAAACCCGACCTGACAAGGACCCGACCTCCCGACCCCGATTTTAACGGGTTTTCTCCAAAAAATACTCCCGACGGACCGGAAATGGTATTCAAAACTAAATCCCCAATAAATTTCGGCCCGGAAACGGTGATACATTTCCCAGTCCCATCCCTGGACCGACCCCGAGCCACGTCCTTGATATAAAATTACTATCATACCCTCTCTCTCTATATCTTCTATCTATCTATCTATACTATTATAAAGTGAACACCTTTTATGGTGTCCTGAAGCTTTACTCTCCTCATGGCATGTGGCAGTATTTTTTATTTTTTAAAAAAAGTTAAACAAAGAGATGGGTAAGGCTTGAACCCATGACCATGGGTTTAAGTACGAGGACTCATACCACATAAGCTAAGTACACATTATAATATTAATTTCATTATTATTATTTTTTATTCCTACTTATTTAAATTGCACACACATCGTGTGCCACCCACTAGTATATATAAACCAAACCAAACCAAACCCTAAAACACAACTCACTCACACACAACCGCCTCTCATCTCTCTCGGTTTTTCTCTCTCTCTCTCTCCCTCCACCGATCTCCCTCCGTCGTCCTCCTCTCCTCCTCCTCCGCTGTCCTCTCCCTCATTTCATCACCGCCGATCTCCCTACTCCTCCGCTGTCTTTGGCGAGAGAGAGCTGTGGTTAGGGTTTTCGATCTCGGCCAGAAGAAGTACTCAGATCTGCAACGATTGAGGCCACAACAAGGCGTCGCCGCTGGTGAACAAGGTGTCTCAAAAGTAATCAATCTATTTCCCCAAATACCTATCTCTAAAATCTCATCTTTTATGCTTATGTTTATTGTTTTTTTGTTTTTTTTTTACTCAGTTGAGTTCGATGCCCTAGACAACAGAGGTCTCCAACAATATTTTTGGATTTTTTTTGGAGATAGAGAAACAATCGATCTGGTAAGCTCTTCAATGCTTGTTTCGAATGTCTATCTCACCTGACTTTTTTCTTTGCATTTTTAAATTTGTTTTTTTTTTACCATTTCGCTTTCTAGTTTCCTTTTGACTGAAAACATAAAAAACAAATCAACCAACTTTCCATGACACATATATAATCAGATAAACCCAGAAAGGAAACTTGAAATTAATTCATACATAAACACAAACCAACACTAAAAACACAAGAAAAGCAAAGCAGTTTAAAGCTTTTGACATGAAACGATTCTACTTCTTATCATAACAGCTTTGATAAACTGAAAACAGGTTCTTAAAGCAAATTTATGGTTTCAGAAAGCAGAACCCACAATTGTTTTGACCCATAAATTGGAATTAAACAAATACGCATTTACCATGTGATTAAATAACAATCTCTCCATGTTCAGAACGGTCAATGGTATTTTTAGTTCTGCAAAAAGTAACCCCCAAACCAAACCAAACATATTTAACATATACGTACAACAATATACAATGCAAGCAAGCATGCATCCAATACAAATATAAGGCCGAGTGGAAGCATGCCTCAGGTGAGAGAGACATTCGAAACATTGTTTCTCTATCTCCAAAAACAAATCCAAAAATATTGTTGGAGACCTCTGCTGTCTAGGGCATCGAACTCAACTGAGTAAAAAAAACAAAAAAAAATAGACATAAGCATAAAAGATGAGATTTTAGAGATAGGTATTTGGGGAAATAGATTACCTTGTTCACCAGCGGCGACGCTTGTGGCCTCGATCGTTGCAGATCTGAGTACTTGTTCTGGCCGAGATCGAAAACCCTAACCACAGCTCTCTCTGGCCAAAGACAGCGGAGGAGTAGGGAGATCGGCGGTGATGAGATGAGGGAGAGGAGGACAGCGGAGGAGGGGGAGAGGAGGACGACGGAGGGAGATCGGTGGAGGGAGAGAGAGAGAAACCGAGAGAGAAACCGAGAGAGATGAGAGGCGGTTGTGTGTGAGTGAGTTGTGTTTTAGGGTTTGGTTTGGTTTATATATACTAGTGGGTGGCACACACGATATGTGTGCAATTTAAATAAGTAGGAATAAAAAATAATAATAATGAAATTAATATTATAATGTGTACTTAGCTTAAGTGGTATGAGTCATCGTCCTTAAATCCATGGTCATGGGTTCAAGCCTTGCCCATCTCTTTATTTAACTTTTTTTTAAAAAATAAAAAATACTGCCACGTGGTATGAGGAGAGTTAACTTTTTTTTAAAAAATAAAAAATACTGCCACGTGGTATGAGGAGAGTAAAGCTTCAGGACATCATAAAAGGTGTTCACTTTATAATAGTATAGATAAATAGATCGTTTCATGTCAAAAGTTTTAAACTGCTTTGCTTTTCTTGTGTTTTTAGTGTTGGTTTGTGTTTATGTATGAATTAATTTCAAGTTTCCTTTCTGGGTTTATCTGATTATATATGTGTCATGAAAGTTGGTTGATTTGTTTTTTATTATATATGTGTCATGAAAGTTGGTTGATTTGTTTTTTATGTTTTCAGTCAAAAGGAAACTAGAGGATTTTTCAGGAAAATTTAATAGAATTTTTCTTGACCATGCTTAAAGTAGTTGCTGTCATTTCCTTCCCCATCAATTATTAACTAACTGGAATCGGTGTGATCTGTTCTTAGGAATTTGTCTGGAATTATTGATAATCTTTATTATAGATTTGAAATTGTTATTTAAATTAATTAAATTGAACTTGTCCCACACTCAATTCCAATGAATTAATTAAATTGAACTTGTCCCACACTCAATTCCAATGAATATATATATTTCTTATTGATTGATGACAAATTAATAATTAGTAAATACCTTGTTTGAATGAGTAGAAAATTGAAACCAAAACTGCTCATCATTAATTTCCAATCAGTTTTATACCACATCCTCATTCTCTTCACTCTCTCTTTCTCCCCGATTGGGGATCAAACTGTTCCTCCTCTTCTCTCTCTCTCTCTCTCTCTCTCTCCAGGAAGCCCTAACAGCGACTACCCTGCCAAACTAAGACTTCACTACAAATATGGAGACCCACGGAAGCAGCAAGACCAAGAGCAAGAGGAAGAGAGAAGCTTCGTCTTCCAAGACCAGTCAAAGCAGAAGCAGAAGCCGAAGAAAATCCGACGACGACGACGACTCCGAGACCGATAGCCGCGGCTCGTTAACGCCGAGCCACCACCGCTCTCACAAGCGGAGTCTCAGCCGCCGGAGCGCTTCGAGGGATTCGGATGATTCCGACGATGGAAGTGATCTTGAGAGGAAGCGGAAGAGGTCGTCTTCGAAGAAGGTTACGGATGAGGACATTGCTGATTACTTGGCCAAGAAAGCTCAGAAAAAGGTACTGTTTTTATGATTGATTGATTGATTGATTTTTTTTTTTCTAATTTTTTTTTTGTGGGTTTGGTGTCTAGGGTTTTTGTTGTTGATTGTTATGGTGGTTTGAGTTTTGATGCTTTTAGGCTCTTAAAGTCGCGAAGAAATTGAAGTCACAGACTGTGTCTGGTTATTCCAATGATGCCAATCCCTTTGGTGATTCCAATCTCAATGAAAAGTAAGTTCATTCTTCGTTTCTACATTGAGTTATTCTGATATATTTCAATTTTGATAAACAATTCTTAGTTTTATGTAGAGTTCAATCTAGATTTTAGGTAATTCTGTTTTCATGTCCTGAAAAGTTGAGGACTGAAACTTTTGATGGCTATAGGAGAAGATGCACAAAGGGTCATTCTTAATAACCACTCAAATCCAAATTTAAAACATTACACTGGAGTTCTTCTGCTATTGTGGTTTATAATTTTATCTGATATGGCGGGTAGAAAATCGAGCTACTAGCAACTGTGATGCGTGTACTTATAAAAAATGAAGGGTTGTGGTGCCTCTCAAACTCTATATATGTTATGAAGAGATGCATTTATTATGTAGTAGGAATCTACTAGGAAGCCTTCATGTGTAGTATTTTGTTACCTAATTATATGGAACTATGTTTCTTATAGGTAGACTATTATAAATATTCATGTGGACTATAGGATTTTCTTGAGAGAGATTGAAGGGAAAAAAATAGAGATGTAAGGGGGGTGAGAGAACAAGTACTGTGAGGGCACCGGGGTGAGGTTTTGAGTGTTTTGGCTATCTCACATGTATTTTCTATCTTTATCATAGGGGAATCTCTCTCCCGTCGATGTAACCAATTTGGGTTGAACCACGTAAATCCATATGTGATTTTTTTTCTCTTTGGTGTGTGCATGGTGTGCTTCCGTTTGCGATGATAGGGTGTGGTATAAATTCCCAACAGTTAGTAAATCACCAAGAAGTGGGAATGCTTTTGATCAATATTAAATGAATGGAAAAGTAAACGATAACATTGTTTGTGGTTGGATTTTGTAATGTTCTTTTTGCACTGCCTTTGGTTATACTTGAGAGCCACATTTGAAGTGTAATTACCTTGTTTGGGCTTTAGAATCTTTGTGTTGGTAAGTTGACGGTCCAACCTTACAACATAGTGATCTTAAAGTAAGATAATGCATTGGTTTTGTTTTGTTTCAAGGCTAACATGTGCTTGGAATTTTAGTGTTTGTAATGTGTATGGAAGGAGTTAGGGTTAAGGGTGGGAGGAACCTAATCGGTGGAAGGAGAAGGGGTGGTTTCCATGTGAAGCTTTTTATTATATCATGAATATCATGAAAAGTGAGGGGTCTAAATGGCTCAAATAAGAGGGATGCTGTGAAAGCCTCGTTGGAAAAGTGGAAAGGGGACTTAGTTTTTTTACAAGAAATTGAGTCGAAGACATGTCATTGAAGGTGGTGAGGAGTTTTTGGGGTTAGATTAGAGGTGGATAGATTTGGTGAGTTTGGGGACATTCGGATCATCAGGTTGCATCCTTGTTTTTCACATTCTAGGAATCTATCAAAAATTTATGAGGATGGGTGATCACTTAATCTCACGCTTGTTTGCATGGTGGAAGATGGGCTTTAATAGTTTCTTGTTTTTTTGAGGGTATAATCTGACTGAAGATGATAGAAGAGGTTTATGGGAGGAGCTGTTTGCTATTGAAGTTGAAATTGCTTGTGGTGTCTTGGCGGTGACTTGAGGAGATTTGTTTGGTGTCACAATAGGGCTTATTCTTCAATACCCAAGATTGATAAATTCCTTATTTCTATGGGCTGGGAATAACATTGGAGGGCCTTTCAATGGCAGAGTTGCTAAGAGCTGAGAAAAAGTGTAGTTGCGAAGGCTAATGATTTTCGAAGAGATGAACATGTGACAAAGATCTATAGCTATTTGGTATAAGGAGGGAGATTGCAATGCAATTTTAATTTTTCCATCGAATGGCCAATGCTATTGAAGAGCCAATTGTATTGGAAATATGGTTAATTGTTGGTGTTTGGTTGGCTAGGTAGGGAACCATTTTCAATGGCATTTTAGACTTCTATAAGAAATTATATTTAGAGCCTGTTATCATGAGACAGATAGGAGTTGCCTTAAGAGGACTTTTTGGACGAAGAGGCGGTAGAGGCTTTAAAAAGCCCCAAATTGGTATAAAGCTCTTAGGACAAATGATTTTTCCTTTTTTTTCCCTCCAAGAAGTGTTGCAGTGTGGTACGTTGTGAATGTTATACCATTTCAAAACCCAACATGCACAAAGAAAGAAAATCCTCAAATAACTTTTTAGAGCTTATGGCCATTTTGAAGGTGAAAACCCTAGTTCTTGCTATAGGCTAAAGCTTCATATCGGGTGAAGGGATTACTGAGAAATAAAGATGAGGAATGACTAAGATGTATTGATACTTTGACAAACATGTTGTACCCTTGTAGGGTATCGGTACTTTGCATGGTATTTCTGCATACGTATCAGGTATACGAAACACGTATCCAGTTTTTTATCCGTAAATTTTGCCGTACCCCAAAAGTACTTAGTATATGAAGTTTTTTAAAGCGGCTGTGTAACTCGAGGCGTTGTAGCCCTTTTGAGATGAGGCCTAAGCCTAAAGGAGTGAGGTGTAAGCAATTCAATTTTTAAATTTTTATATTTAGTAAATAAATTAAATATTTTAGAATAGTAAAAAATAAATATAAAGTTGTAAATACTTTTCTTCTTAAGGCGTCAAATATTTCACTGCAAATAAGAAGCTTGCCTTCATTGAAAGTGAAATTGATATTCTTAGTTTTAGTGATTTGAGTGTAACTCCCTCAAAATATGACATAAACAAACCATTCATAAGACCCATAAAATATAATAGAAACGCTATATTTTCATTCATCAGAATCTTTTTTACAAAAAATATTACATGCATTACATTTTCATAAATGTTTATCTTGAAACTATAGCATGTAACTCTAATTACTAACAGCAAAATAATTGCCCTACAGGTTTACATCTTTCTAAGTTACCATTTGGTTACAACAAAAGAAGAGTCTTAGCTCTATACATATAAAGCCCTTGGCTTGAATCAACATTTAACATCAAAAACAAAATAACGAAAAAAGCCTTCAACTCCTAAACCTCCAAAGCTAAGACCTTGGAGGCGGCATGTCACCTGTACCTGAAAAATTGTTTCCCTAGTAGGATGAGCCAAAGCCCAGTAGAGATATGCTAAACAATATATGAGAATTAACTAAGATATTAGTATCAGATAAATGTGCAACATTCCTAAGCAATACATATTCCTTTCAAGTTCAATCAATATAGACAACCAATACCTCAACTCAATTCCATTCTTCCATTTCGGATAAAATCAATTAACCAAATTCATTATTATCAAAACAACCAAAATGAGACTACTACTCAATGGTTGACAATTCAATACATTTATCAATCCAACACTTTTATTTCTTGCCATTTTACGGAACTACGTCCGAAGGAACCAGCACCCATATACATATAAGATTTTGGGACTTTCACCCTGGACACTCCGGCCAACTTAATTTTCAATGGAGTCCATCCCCTATCTCCTCCTATACAATGAAGTACATACCCTATCTCCTTCCAAACAAAGTTACATATACAATGTATTTAAACACGTTGTCATATACAATGACTAATCAAATCACATATTCAATGGTTTAATCAAACAGTCATAGTCAATGACATAATTCAATTGATTAGTTTCGATCTTCCTAATCCTCATGCAGTTTCTACCAGTGTTTTTTAAGGCGAAAAGCGAATCGAGGCGACAAGGTCACCTAACGCCTAAGCGCGAGGCGATGAGGCGAGGCGAGGCGAGGGCTTCATTGAAGCGAGGCGACCAGAAATGATATTTTTTTAAAATAAATGGTATAGACAAAAATATAAATATTTTCAAGAACCATCATGCAGTTATCATTCCAAATCACTACGCACGCAGCGGTTTCAAACAACCTATAATCGGGTAAGCAACCTGTCCTAGCTTTGGAATGGTCACGGTTTGAGATGATTGGGGTCCAGGTGCATCCATCATGCATAAGTCCATGCTTTCTGGGATAAACACCTCAGGCTTGGGTAGATGGGCCGGGGTGATGTATATGCTGGGGTCAAAGGTGGACAGCAGTATGTGGATGTGATTGAGGTAGGCAGGAGATGTTTGGTCATTGGGGTCCGAAGGTGGAGCTATCGTCCGGTTGTCGATGAGATTTTGGACCTCATGACGCATGCGGTAGCAACGGTCGGTGCCATGACCGCGCTGCTGATGGTACACACAGTACTTGGAGGGGTTATGTCTGGCTGGGAGTGGGTCAGGCAGAGGTTGAGGATCGAGGGGTTTGAGATACCCTTTTTCCATCAAGATTTTTAGTGCGCTAGTCAGGCTCATATAGAGAGGGGTGAAAGTTCTGCCCTAAGCTCGGGCTAGGCCGGCAGTTTGTAGGCTTGGTTTGGCAAAAGGGTTAATTGTGGCAACTGTATTGATTTTGGTGGGTTTGGGAATAGCGCTACTACTAGCATTGGTACTCCCTAAAATCACCCTCCTTGTCGGTTCACTTGTTCTGGGAATGATCCCACTGTTGAACGCATTCTCGATCTGAACCCCCAGTTCATGCAAACTTTTGAAAGTGAATAGCGGAGCGACTATCAAATTTTGAAACATATCATGCTCGAGGTTTCGCACCATCATCTGCACTTGATCCCTCTCAGAAGGGCGGCGATCTGTCATCTGTGCTGCCTTTGCCCTCCACCTCGCAACAAATTCCACAAAAGGCTCTGTTGGGTTCTGGCAGGTTGCTTCGAGCTCTTGGATGGTCATTTCAACTTGGGTATTGTAAGAATACTGATCAACAAAGACCTCAGCCAATTCTTCCCAGTTTTGCTTCACTGTATTCTCCAACTTGGCATACCAAGTGGCTGCTACACTCGACAGGGTTCTTCCATACAGAGAGAGTTTCTGTGGCTTAGTCAGACCCATCGACTTCAGGATATCCAAGAAAAGTCGGATATGGACCGTAGGATCTCCAGACCCGTCGAAACGGTCAATATGTGGCATTTTGAATCTGTCTGGGAACCATACGGCAGCCTCGGTGTACCCATCCTCAATGTCGGGAATGGAGTTAAGGCCATGTGCCTTTTTGAATTGCTTCTCAAGGTTTGCGATTTTTACCGCGGTCGGATCGAGGTCACTAGTATCAAGGGGATAAAGCCTCTC